GAGCAGGAGCTCAGCACTGTCTGTGGAGTCTGGAGTTAAACACTTGAGAATTCCAGGGTTACAGGGACATGGAAATAGAGAAGCTGAAATCCTGAGGGAAAATGTATTTTAGTTGAACCTAAGGTGCTTCTCATCCCATTAGGATCCCATTACCCCAGGGAACGGCTGGAGCTGTGTCAGGGCTTGGGATGGATCTCAGGGAAAGGTTYTTCTGTCCCCARAGGGTGGTSCTTCTGTGGTCCTCTGTCACTTTTAAACACAAAAAGTTTAAAAATACTTTGTCTATTTCAAAAGACCACATTTCCCTCACATTTCCACTCACATATATCCACTCACATTTCCCTCCTCTCTTCTCCAGTTATTCAGAACAAACTTGTCCRGGTTTAAACTTGGATATCACTAAAYTTAAATTTCCTAGGGGKTTGAAATTTTCKCATCCCTTCATCCACAGTGTCCCTTTTTCTGACCAAGTTGATATTTCCAGGGGAAATTCCAAATATCACTACTAYGGGATCCGCCTGAAGCCGGAGTCGCCGCTGAACCGCCTGCAGGAGGACACGCAGTACATGGCCATGAGRCAGCAGCCCATCCACCAGAAACAAAGGTAGGAGCTCCAAAACCCTTCCCAAATTCCTCAGCAGCTTTCTGGGATTTTGGGATCAGAAATTTTGGGAATTCCGAACCAATTTGTTGTTGAAGTGTCAGAGCTGAGCCGTGGAAGGGTCTAAAAATTATCCCAGATAATGCCCCRTCCCTGGAAATGCTCAGGGCTGGGTTGGATGAGACTTTGARSAACCTGAGCTGGTGGARAATGTCCCTGCTGACTGCAGGGGGTTGGATTMATGGGTTTAATGGCTTTTTCCAGCCCAAAATCTTCTGGAATTTCATGGYATGGGATTTATCTATTTTTTTCTCCTTCCACCCTGGTTGCAACCTTTCACAACCTCCCTGTAACCAAACTTTTAGGATCTCAGTTGTGTTTGTGCCAAACAATGTGAAGAACTTTGGGGTTTGTCCTTTATTTTGGGTAGATTTTGGTTTTCATTTGAATTTGGGGAGCTTTTCTTGTGCAAAGCTTAAATTAATCAATTTTGGACAAAAATCCAACAATTCAACCCCTTGGGAAGAGCAAATTCCCCCAATGAAAGAAGAACCCAAATTGATAAATACCTCTGTCTTTCTATTTCTCTAATTTTTGAATGGGGCAAAAGAAGATCCCAGCCGTGTTCTATCTCATCTGTGAGGAATTTTAAAGATAAAACCCAACGTGCAGAGGGGTTTGGAATTATTCTCTGGAAGYTTGGACACTTCTGGCTGCTGCTGAAGTGCAGAAGGAGCAGGAGAATTTATTCTTTAGAATTTATTTTCTATTTCAAACAGAAATTAAACACACGAGTCGGTGCTTGAGGCAGAGTCTGCTCTGGAACTCACTCCAGCTCTGCTTCTCTTTTTTGATTTTTTTGGTGTCACCAAACTTCTTAACCCTTTAATTCTGCCTTGGGGAATTCCACCTGTTTTTCCCTGTCTGTGTGGATCCTAATCCATCCTGATTTTGGGATTTAGGTACAGAGCAGCCCAGAAGATGGATGGGATGGCAGAGGCAGCATCCAACASCAATCCCCACACCACACCCGAGCAATCAGTGGCTGCTCAGAGTCAACACCATCAACAATT